GAGAGAGAGAGAGAGAGAGAGAGAGAGAGAGAGAGAGAGAGAGAGAGAAATAGTGAAACTCTCCAATGAATCCAAAGCCTCTCCAGAAATAACCACCAGATCTCCAGCTAGTATCTTATGTGTTTAAATTACTATTTGATAAATACCATTTATATGGAGATCTGAAATGATGTAAGGGTCCTCTCTGGGGATCATTTTTTAAAACTCTTCTTGGATTTCTAAATACTTGAATCATAAGTATGCATCTGTCTTTGAGATTCAAGCCCATCAGATAATCCTCCCTCCCTCTCCCCCACCTCTGTAGTGCGTGCTATGTGTGTGTGTGCATGTTCATGCATATGTGCTGTGTATACAGGTACATCCGCACATACTTATATACATGTGTAGAGTCCAGACATCAACATCAGTAGTCTCTCTCCATCACTCCCATAGTTTTTGAGGCTGGTTCTTCCCCTGGATCTGGGGCTCTGATTTGGCATGACTAGCTGTCCCGCACGCCACAGGATTCTCCCATCTCTGCCTCCCCAGTGTTAGGATTACAGGCACACACTGCCATGTCTGGTCTTCCTCATGGGTGTTAGGGATCCAAACTAACACTTTACTGAATGAGCCATCTCCCTCGTCCCTCATATAATCTTATTCTGGCTCAAGAACTCGGGATGGAGGAACTTACCACACATGGGAAGAAGGCCGCAATCTGGCCGGATATAAACAAGACCTCTGCTTCCCCTATACTTCAGGAGGACAGAGCTTATAGGTGAGAAGTTCCCTGTCTCCATTCCTAACATCCTCTGGCATCTGGGATGAACCTACCTCCCAGAATCCTCCAGGGGAACCTACCTTCCTGGGCTGTGGTTGAGAAAGGAGCAGCCTGCCCAAGGGACCTTCTTCCTCACAAAACAGCCAACCATTTGCAGCTATTTCATTTGCAAAGGTTTCCTGCTGTGGCTAAGCAGTGAGGCCACTTGGTTTGTTATTTAAAAGAGTGACCCTAATGAGACCAGAGCTCTGAAGAGGAGCAAGTCTTATTTCAGCCAGTGAGAAGAACTAAGACAAAGAGTGCCTAATTGAATCCCTAGGAGGTCTCCAGACATCCATGCCTGGTGACAGTACCTCAGGCCTGGGGATACCTCTTTATAAGTCCCAGCTGGTTAAGCCAAGCCTTTCTGAACTTGTTTAAAATGATCTACTAAAATATCCCTAGCAGAGACTTCGAATTGGAGCTAAGAGCCACCAAAGGCTATACTTGCAAGGAAAGGAAAAGTGCAGACATGGAGAGGAGCGAAGGATTCAGTGTATGGACGAGGAGAGCCTGGGGACAGTTATCTAGCCAGCAAGGAGACAGGGAAGGAACGTTGGAGACTGAGGCAAGAGAACACATCCACCAAGTAGAGAAGCAGAGAGGGCAGGCCGAAGCCACTGCCTGAGTAACACATTGAAAGCATCAGATGACAGTGGACCCTGTCTGCTCTCCTCCTGCTGCTCTTTCTTCTCCTCCTCCCTGGAGCCTGCAGCTTTGTGAACAATCTCCACTGTGTAGTCCCTGCCTGGTTGCTTTGGGTTGGCGACACTTGAGGCAGTGGAAAGACAATCTGTGGCTCGTTAGTTTGTTGTTTTTCAGGGGGTGATATTTTTGAGACAAGATCGTCTTATACTGTAGTCTAGGCTAGTCTGGAACCCACTGTGAAGCCAAAGTTGGCCTCAAACTGGCACCATGAAGTCAGAGTATCCTCCAGAGTGACATTGGCCCATCCTGACTTAGCTATAAGGAAAGAGTGCAATTGAGAGCTGGGGAGATAACACAAGGCCTCTCAGACCCAAGAGATGCTGAACAAAGGTTAAAGCAATGGTGGGCTGAGGGTGTGGACAGAGCCCATGCTCCAGAGGTGACATTTACACTCTAGTGTAAGATGAACTAAGCCAGAAATAATTTACCTGAAGGTTGCTGTTTACCCTGGGGGAAGGTTTTAGACAAAAGTGGGCAAGCTTGAACTGCATTTACAGGCTTACCCTTACGTTCCCTTGATTTGTGCTGTTCGACAGATGTTTTGGTCTCAGTAGTCCTTGGCCTTTAGCTTTGGTTTTAATCAGCAAATACTTGGGAAGCTAACGTGAATCAGTGTGAACTGAACACTAAAAATAACAGAAGAGTGCATGGGTCTACGGAGCCGACTCAACAGGAAGGTTTCTCACCTTGGAATGAACAGCCGGCCTGCCACCCCCTCTCTGTAGAGTGGATGTGTACTCAGACCTGGAGGACCCAACTCACCTCTTTCCTTGTGCCACACGCTGTGTTGGAATAAGGACAGAGAAATGAAAAGGGCGGAAAGCTGCTGCTTGCTCTCCTAGAGCTTTTTTTAAAAGGTACCTTAATTAGGAAAGCATGAGATTTAGTGGAGGCATGTAATGGGGATGTCAGTCCAAGGCTTAAGATTATCTTCCCAGGGGAAGTCATGACCACGGAAACCTAAGAATGACTAGCACTGGGCAGGTGGAGGACATGTGCATATGTTTATTGGTGGCAGAGGACCTGCCAGGGAGTGTTCAAAACAGAGTGAGGAGGCCTGGAGTCGTAGTTCAGGTGGCAGAGGGTTTGCTGAGCATGCCTGAAGCCCTGGACTTGATCCCCAGCACCACATACACATAAACTGGATATGGGGGTATACAGCTGTAGTCCAAGCAAGGAGTCAGGGTGATCGGGAGTTTAAGATCATCGTCCCTGGACTACATTACAAATTCCAGCCTGGGGTACCCGATGGAACCCAATGACAAAGAGGAGATTTGGAAGTGAGAGAGACTGCAGTATTTTTTATAAAAAAACAAACAGAGTGTCTTCTGCACTCTAGGAAGGTCATGTTGATGGGAGAGAAGGCATGAGGCAGTTTTGCAGAGACAGGCAGGGCCCATGCTGTGTAAAACTTTATAAACCACATTAAGGAGATGGTTCCTTATTAGAGCAGCAATAAAAAGCCATTGGAAAGCATTAAGCAGGCAGGTGATGAAATCCCATTCCATTGTAGATCACTCTGGATGCAACACAGATTGCAAAGAAGCAGAAGTGGGTGCAGGGGAGGCCTGCTGCAACATAAAGAAGGTGTGCTGGAGTGCTGCAGGGAAGAGGAAGACCCAGCAATGGCATTCCAGAGACGCTGGGAGACTTCAGTCCATGGGAAACAGCACCCTGGCTGTGAGAGACCAGCGACACACAGCACTAAGGAGATCTTGGAATTTTAATTTCATTAATCTACTAATAGGATACATCCCAGATATATAAATTTAGTTAAAAGATTGAAACAGAGTGATAAATGAGATGAAGAGTTCAGCTTTGCAGACATGAGTTCCCAATAGCCATGGTATCAAAAGAAATGTCTTATCCAGTTTAAAATGCAAACTGAGACTCAGGGCTGGTGGTACAGGCCTGTAATCCCAGCTACTTAGGAGGCTGGGGTGAAACAACTTCAAATGCTGTCTGTGCTACAGAGAGAAATCAAAGCCAGTCCAGGCAACTTAGTTAGACCACGACTCAAAATAAAAGCAAAAAGTGTGTGTGTGAGCTGAGGCTATAGCTCAGTAGTACAACACGTGGCTCACACAGGACCCTAGGTTCAATTCCTAGTATATAAAAAAATGTATCAAATATGAACCTGGGGTGAGGGTGTGACCAGAGACATATCTCAGGGAATATGAAGACATTGAGCCCAAGGCCAGTAGTATAGAAATGAGCAGCTCTCAGACAAAGACCCAAAATGAAAGAAGAATGTACCAAGGAGCCCAAGATGGGGAAACCTGAGAGAAATCGGGGTCAACCAGGACCCTCTGTGCCATCAAGGGATGGTGGGAGAGCAGAGCTCACAGCAAGAGGATATTGGGGTTGAATGGTCACAGTCATGGCCACATTACAGCTGCTTTTCATCTGAACTCTAAATTAAAAGCTTTGTTTTGAGATAGTTGATCTACGTCCCTCCAGAGGTTAAATACGGATAGTCATGCACCTTCAGCAAAGGTGGTTTAACTTTCTCAGGGTGCATTCTAGTATTTTATTACAAGCTGGACGGCAGGTGCCTGAGGACGCAGTGTTTCTGGAGAACGTTCTGTATGTCCTATTTAAACAGTTCAAAATAAATCTTTAAGTGGGTTGTTCAAAGCCTACTGGTGAACAAAGAGAGTAGAGTAAAATATGAAAACTCTTATACCACCGTCTAGCACACAGTAAGTGCTCCGTAAATGAGAGCTCCGTGTGTGTGTGTGTGTGTGTGTGTGTGTGTGTGTGTGTGTGCAAATGAGAGTGTGTGTGTATGTGTGTGTATGTTGGTGTGTATGTGAGTGAGAGAGAGACAGAGATAGAGACAGAGAGAGAGAGATAGAGGGGGGAGGGAGGGAGAGACAGACAGAGAGACAGACACAGAAAGAGAGAGAGACAGGGTTTTATGTAGGCCAAGCGGGCTAGCTTCACGATAAGGATAACTTTGAACTTCAGATCCTCTTGCCCTATGTACCACCGCACCAAGTTTTATGTGGTGGTGGGGCTAGAACCCAGGGCTTTGTATATGCTAGGCAAGCACTCTACAGCTGATTTGCTGTTTCCAAGATAAGAACACAAAGAACAGGGTTGAACTGAAATGCTCTCCGACCATGACCAGGTGCCATTTCAAGGCTGGCCTTCAGCCTGTTGCCATCCCGAACCACCCTCCCCTGGTCCTGCACCTCCATCCCCCCCTCTCCTGGTCCTCTCCATGTGCTCGGCAGCACTGCCCCACACTTACCTATTCAGCATGTTCGACTGGTAGATCCTCTTCTCGTGGGTGTTGTAACAACTGCTCTTGGGCTCAGGGATGAAACTGTGTTCGGACAGCATGTCGGAAGCAGCAGTGGTGATGATGGCAATCCCATCTCTCACTCTGGCAGGAAGGCCATAGTCCCATTCATCATAGGACACAGAGATAAGCCCAGTGGGGAACTCGGAGGGCACCGTGTCTGTATCCCCCGCCACCAGACTGGGCACGATCCATGTGTAGCCATAGCCCGTCAGCCCGACCGAGTTAGCTACCTCAAATATGTAGGTGGCCTCCTCCTTCGTGCAATAGAGAAGGATGATGGGGCTCTGGAGTTTCTTCAGCTGGTTCTGGATCTTCGAGTCGCCGTCGTCTAGAGACATGTCTAGCAGGAGGACTTCCTCCAGCTCCCAGCCCACGAAACTGTTCTCGATAGTACTGCGGATCTTGTTCACAAAGTCCTGGTAGCCAGGGAAGTAGGTGGTGACGATGGAAAAGATGTACCAGTCGTATTCTTCCATGATGTTGAGCATGACAGAAGCTTGCTGCTCAATGGATGGGCCGAACTGGAAGAACATGGAGGACTCATCCTAGAGGGGTCAAAGTGGAAGAAAAAGAGAGAAACAGAAAGATCAAACAAAGACAGCCGTGGGGATTCTGAATCAACGCGATACAGAAGTTCAGGTTCATCGTTTTTTTCATAGAATTTTTCATTTTCAAATTTTTCAGTTAAAAAAAATTGAATGTTTTTTTGAATTTCAAGCACTTATAATAAATTCATTCCTAAGAGTATTTCCAGGCATTTGGGAAAGGAAACAGCATCGGTCTATGAGTCTTTCTGTCTGAACTCTTCAGGGTCTTAGCTTAAGACAGCTCCTCAGAAGGAAACACATTGATATTTACACAGTAGAACATCAAATAATCCAAAAGTGGAGAGAAGAGTCCAAGGCCTCATGCCAGTCAGGTGAGTTGCCCACATGCACACAGACACACACAAACACACACGCACGCACACGTACCATTTCTCGAGGACTTTAAATTTCTGGGTGTGTAGATTTATATTATTCAGCACCAGAATGAATAAACTAAGGTACCATGGGTCCACCCTTAGGCTTGTCTACATGGCTGGTGTAAGCAACACTGACACACAATGGACCTGATACTTGGCTATTAGAAACCAAAGAGAATATAAAGGTGTTAGTAACACAAGCCCTACAGTACTAGAGATTGAAGCCAGGGTCTCACATGCCATGCTTTACCACTGAGTCCCTCCTCCTTTCCACCAAAAAAAAAAAAATGGCCAATATGGGTTCTCACTTGGTTTTCCAGGCTGGACCTAGACTCACTCTATAGTTTCAGCAGGATTTGAATCTGGAATCTTCCTGCTTTGGGCTTCTGAAGAGCTGAAATGACAGGTTTGTATCACCAGGGCACACCTACTAGCATTCTCAATTAACCTAGCTTATTCTCTAACTGTTGCTCTGATAACAAGATCCACCACTTAGAGCAAGGTTCAAACAGCACCTCTAAACCAAATATTCAATACCGGTAGCTAAACTCTTCATGTGGCGTGCTTGATTTCAGAGCAACCTACAGCAGAGGGCTTGTTTCCTAACCCATAATGCCACAGGTCTCAGACTCATCTGTGTACTACACAGACACACACATGCACACACACACACACACACACACACACACACACACACACACACACACACACACACGGAGCCATTTCTGAGCATCTTGTTTTCCTCCCTTTCCTTTTGAAGGAGAAGCCATTTTGAATTCCTCCCATTTTAAGCTGCACTTTACCTGCTGTTTTGCCACGTCAAAGCCTGTAGTTCAGCTCCACCTTATAGCTACAAGAATCTGAACACACAGAATGAATACCCTCTCAGCCTGTCCCTAATCCATTTCCCTGATTTGTTTCTGGGTTTCTGGTAATGGAGTCACTTTTCTCAGTTTGTGTCCCACCTTCCATCTGAGGGCTTCTGCCCATTTTGAAATAGCTAACACAATTGCATCTCTCTTCAAAGGACATTTCCTCCCCACTCCCAACAACCTGGTCTTTAAAGTATAGTTACAAGAGACCAAGAAATTCAGCCTTTAAGCAAAATTATATAGCGATTTCTTAGTTCAGGAATAAATAGTCAAGAAACAGCCAAGTATTTCTCTAGTGCCAACTATTGAAAAAATACAGGCTGGAAAATACCCTACTTGTATCTCAAGACCCTAGTTGGGCAGTGAGAGCTGCCAGTCCCTCGGCTTTGCCAGAGTAATGTGTGCTTCCCGAGCTTGAACTGGTGACCTGGACCCCAGCCTTTCCAGAGTGGAGGAGGTGATTGCCCAGCAGTGGCGAGTCTTCCTGCCTAAGGTACAATGCTGCTCACCCTTACTGTGCCTGTCTCCTTTGGTCTCAAACATACAGCCAGAGATGAGCTCCAAAAGTCTGAGAAGTAGGGAGGATGAAGCAACAAGAATAGATAGCTAGAAAAAAGGGGAATTCATTCTGACTAGAATAATTAATGCAGCTTGTGTGCCTATTCTAAACTCTGGCTAGTCCCTGCCCTTGGACTTCCCCTATAACACAAGGACTGTTCTTCAGTGGAAAGCGACCTGTTCTTCAGCTGTAGGTTACAGCTGTGATGTGGAGTAAGTGTTGTCCATCTCTGTTAATAAATTCTAACCTCCAAGATGAGAGTAGGAAGTGTTGTCCTTGAGAGAGGATAGGTCTCGGAGGCAGAGATCTCACAAATGGGATTAGTGTCCTTATAAAGGAAACTCCAGAGAGCTGCCTTGACTGTTCCTCCACGAGTGGACACAGAGAAGTTGCTTCGACGAGCCAAAGCAGAAGTCCTCACTAGATACCAAATCTGCTAGCACTATGATCTTGGACTTCTCGGCCTTCAGATTTATGAAAACTAAACTCCTGTTGTTGATAAGCTGTCTCCTTTATGACATTTTTATAGCAGCTTAAAATGACTAAGACAAGTGGGTATTCGAGACAATGAAGCTTAATTATTCCAACACTTGTCAGGGACCCGCAGAGAACCTCAAGGGAAAAAAGACAGAAAAGAAAGCCCATTGACAGAACAGCTCATCTAGAATAGATGCTGCTTTGAGGAGATATCGACTTGATTTTCTTGTAAACACGGTCTTGGAGATTCTCAAGTGGGAAATCTCATCCTGTGAGTTTCCACAGTCCCAATGGTTAACACACAGTGAAAACACTGCTAATATTCTTTAAGATATATAGGACTAAGGGAGAAGACCCCAAGTGCAAATGAAATAAACCGACCTGGTCTATGATGGGTGAACAGAATTTAATCACTCGGAGACTCTTGAATGCACACAATGTTCCACATATGGTAAAGCCATATTTGGTGCAAATGTACAGCAAGAATAAGCTTTGCAGAAAACTCATAGTTGTCCATCTCAGATGGTCAGTGTTAATGATATGGAACTTAGAGAATGAAAAACCTGTTAAACAACAACTTGACCCTCTCTTCTGCTGGGCTTCTCTTCATGCCTCCCCACAGTTATAAATGAACTTGTAAAGATACTACCAGCTACTATGCAAAAAAAAAAAAAAAAACCTAATCTATAATGAGAGTGAATAAAGCAAATTTAACATGGTAGTGTCACATGCCTGCTGCACTCTGAGCACTCCTTCTAATCCCATTATCATCTATAACTCCTTTTCTATACAACCCCCATCATGCCCACCTTACCCATCCTGTATTGCCAGTCCTTCTTATTCAACAAGGATGTCTTCTAAAACCATCTTATCTGCTACCAAATCAAGTTTGGTGAAGCCAAATAGAAATCAAGAGGCGGAGTCATGGCTTGTGCAAAGATTTCCTATATAATGAGGAGTATAATGCTGCTTATTTAGTTGATACATAAGGCTGGTGTACAGTGGTCCGTAATAGAATAGCTCTTTTTTTTTTCAACAAAGCTTTGATCTAACTCTAAGTTGCAAATGGTGACAGGCTTTGCAAATTATAGCCTCTGCCACAAATCAGAGCACAATATTCATATGTGCATGGAGTGGAAAGTACTGGTGGCCACACATCCATCTTTGCAGGCATCCAGCATACACTATGATCACCCACTAGCGATCAAGGATGAAGGACAGAGACATAATTCTGTTTGCAGCTCACTCTGCTTCCCCATGAACATTTTTATCTCTTAATGATATTACAAAATGTTGACACGCAGGGGTCCTTGGAGCAGCCACCTCCCCCAGTGAAAATTCCCAGCTAAATTTATTGCATGAATGCACTTCAACTTGCCTTGAGAGCATCTTGAAAGTCTTCCTGCATAAAAGGCTGCCTTAACTGAGATGGGCAATTAGCACAGGGGAGGTAGAATTGTACATTAGACCCCATCAGTCTACAACCTTTATACTGTACTTCCATTACATTGATGTTCACAGTGTTTATTTGCTAATAAGAAGAAATAAAAAGAAGTACTTTTTCATCCCATTATCTGCCTCAGAAAACAACTGCCTGAAGAATTAGCAGCACAAGAAGTTTTTCATCATCCAGATCCCCTACTGATCCACTTCTGAAATAAATAACTAAGCATCCCAGTGACCACAGTGCCCATGGCAACAGACTTCATCTCAGTATCCTGCCCCAACACACACACCACTGTCTCTCAAATGAAATGAGCCATTCATCTACAATTACAACCTCTTTCTGGATTACAGAGCCTTGCAGGATTGGCTGTCAAGGTGTATGAAGTCCTGGCCCCTTTGCTCTAAGTCCATACAGCTCTGAAGGGTTTGTCTTGCTTCTGAATTCCCCCAGGTTAGTAAGAGTGTCCATTATGACTGCATCACCTGTCCTTCTCCTTCTGCTCAGTCCAGTTTTATCTTCCTTTCCCTTTCCTGGTGTTGATGTCAAGAGCCTTCTTTAATCAGCCTGCACCCTGCTTTCACCTTCAGCCTGCCTCCCAGGGAACCTGACTCCACTTACCCTCCTTTATAAACATGGAAAGAGGTATCTTAAATGATTTAAACCGAGGGGCTGGGAAGATGGCTCAGTTGGTAAAGTACCTGCCTTATAATCATGGGGGACATGGGTTTGGATCTCCAACACTCATGCTTAAAAAAAAAAAAAGCTGAGCATGGTTGCACCTGAATATAACCCTAGCTCAGTGATGTAGGGACAAGCATATCCCTGGAGCTCACTGGCCAGCCAATTTTGCCAATCAGTGAACATCAGGTGCAGTGAGAGACCCTTTCTAAAACGATAAGGTGAACAGTGATAGAGAAAGACAACCAATGTAGAGCTGTGGACTTCACATGCACAGATGCACACACACACACACACACACACACACACACACACACACACACACACATACTTACATGCATACAGACATATACATACCTGACACATAAATAAAAATAAAGCATATTTAAACATAATATTTATGGTCAAATATTATGGTAATTCATGCAGTAGAAAGATAATCCTCTGCCCATTGGCAGCAGATGTCAAAACTAGGGTGAAAAGGTGTTAGCTGAATATCAGAAATGCATTGGTAGCAGTTATTTCTTAATGGGATGGATGAGCCTCGG